TTTTTTAGTCATCCCTGCTGGGGCCCCGTCAAAACTGTTCGAATCGGGCCCCGCACTTCCTAAAGCCGGCCCTGCCCCGGCAGGAGGTCAAGGGCTGGATTAAAACATATGAAGGGCAGGATATGGCCCCCGGGCCATCGTCTGCCCACCCTGATGTAAGGAATTTTGTTTTTAACACCACATTTGTAGCTTTGGCAACACACATGTACAGCTTGTCCTACCAAGAAAGAGATAGCACTAAGTTTCGTGGGCCCTGGGGCTAAGGGCGTACTAGATACAGGAGAAGTAGAGCTAAGGGGTGGGAGGAGGAGCAAAGATCATTAATAGAGACGCCCAGGGAGGCAGGCTCTGGTGGCTACACTTTTATCCCTCCTCCCTTAGCAAACCTCAGGGCAGCCCTGCCCGAGCGATCGCTGTTTAGTTCAGGCACGATCCCCCACCCCTTGGTGTCTCCTCTTAGGGAGGGTTAATTTCCCCGTGTGAGCTCCAGCCCCTTTGCAGCCCCTCCCTCAGCCGGGACCCTGCTACCTGCCCCTCACCGGGATACCGGAGCAGGGAGCTCGGCGTCCTGAGATGCCCTGTCTGGAGACACGGTAGAGCATGCCTGGAGCTAGGAGAGGAGCCTGCAACAGGAGGTAACGTGCGTCTACAGGGCTCAGCAGCCCAACCCGCCCCCGGGAGCTGGCTCGCTGCAGAGCACGAGGCTGCGTGGGGAGGGGGCGGCAGGTTGTGCAGGAGGAGCCTGCGCCTAACACCGCGTTGCACCTCCTGGGGCGGCAGGCGGGTGGGGCGCACGCGTGCAGCGGGGGTCGGACGGGACAGGAGGCAGCCTAGGCCTGTGCTGGGGAGAGGGGCAGCGCCAGGGGCAGCCCGGCCGGTGCAGGCGGGGGGGGGCGCTGCGTCCAGCTCCGCCCTGCCTTGATGGGGGCTCGGCGGGTGTCTCTTTCGTGCAGAGGCTGCGGCGTCCCGTAGCGATGCCTCGGAAGGCGGAGAAGTTTCTGCAGATCGCCCCGCACTCCCTGGCCATCGTCCTGAGCCCCGGGGCTGCGCTGGAGGCGGAGGAGGGGCGGGAGGACGGAGAGCGGCGGCAGCCGCCGGAGGAGCCGCCTGGCGATGAGCCGCCCCAGCTCGGGCGCCACCACATCGGCTATGAGATCTTCGCGGACTTCAAGCAGGAGAACATGCAGCACTTCTGGAACCCGCGCGTGACGGCGGCCGTGGCCGAGACCTTCTTCCTGGGCTGGCTGGACGAGCAGGTGCTGCTGATCCAGGGCAAGGAGGAGCACCTGGAGGTGCTGCGGGAGGGCTGGACGCGCCGCTCCCTCAAGCCGCCCGCCGGCTTCCGCATCAAGTGCCTGGGTAAGTGCAGCTGGGCTCGCCGGTGCCTTGGCTCCCGCTTGCCAGGAGGGCGAAGGTTGTGCCTAAACTCCACAAGCTCCCTCCCCCAAATACACTAAGTGCACTATAATAGACAAGTCTCCAGGCAGGCACCACTGGTGTTTTAAACACGGTGTTGTCAAACCCTACACAGAACAGGTCTGCAGGACGTGGTTCTTGAAAAGCTGGCACTCTTTGGTGACTCTTTCCTACAGGTACACTCGTCGTTGCTCCTGCCAGTGGCGCTCACTAGAGGTAGCAATGGTAGGAAATTCTGGGTCAAAAATCCTAGTGTAGATAAAGCCAAAATGTGCGTGTTTGTGTGTGAGAGAGTGAGACTCAGTACGTGAGAGGAAAGGCAGCTGGAATGGTGCTGATCCTGAATTGTGAGTGAGGTGGGTTAAGATAGCCCACCGTTCTCTTCCTTGTTGACCCGTTCTTTTTGTCCTTAGTTTTCCCTCAAGTTTACACATTCTTCAACTGTGCTTTGAATAAATATCCAAATCAGTTATATTCCGGTGTTTTAATCAGCAATTCATGATCTTTCTCTTTAGCACTTGGGGTCAAAAGTTCAAGTAGTACACCAGTTCCTTGATATAATTTAGGCACAACCACCTCTCTCAACATCATTGTTCTCTTATCTCCATCCAGGTTCAATGAAGGATTCCCTGTACCAGGCTCTTCCTTCTGATATAATGGATAAACTTTAATGCATTTGCCATTCCTTAAATTGCACAAATCTCTGTACAATGCCAAACCTGTCCTGAGCAATGATAAATAGATTATAAAATTTGCAGTACCTGACTGAGTTTATCTTGCATGCTGAGATATATTTCAAGGTATTACCTTTCTACAAGATAAGTGCAGCAGTGCAAAGCCACTCTAGTTAACCACTTAAACTTTCTGTGTCTATTCTTTATTTAGTGGTGCTGTGCACTGAAAAAGACAATTTTTATAATTTTGCTTTCAACATATATATCCAGCAATGTTTACTATGAACAAAAATATTGTGGTTAAGTGCCAAGTTTGTGTTTTGATTTGGATTTTAGTAAGTTTTGAGTTTGGTAAGCAGTAGAAACTATTGACATTTAATTGTGATGTTCCATTTTATCTATATATAATCTCAGTACTTGTTAAACTTTTAAAGGACTAACTATTTGGAAACCATGTGTTCAATAGTCTGTTCACATTTTCAAAACATTTACCTCTACAGAAAAATAAACAAACATGTAAGCTATTCAATTCTGGACATATGAGTGATTTAAAAAAAAATTGTTACTTTATAAAGATGCATACCAATTATTTTAAGAAATTTGCAAAAATAGGCCAAACAGGCTGTTAGTTAATCCAGTAATTGTAGTAGATCACATTTCTTGAATATCTTTCTCTTTAGAGAGTGAAATTAAAACTGTAAATTAGACATATTTTAAAAAATGCCTATTGCTGTTTGAAACGTCAGTCACACTTAGTCTGATTCTGTTTTTTCCACTCATCCCTCAGGTTCACTTATATCACGGGTAGTCAGTAGGCAGATGACAGGGGAAATCTGAACTGACAGATGCTTTTGAACGGAACCAGAAATCTTTTTATTTACTTATTATTTTTTATTTTCTCTGGAGTCTGGACCTTGACTATAGCTTGACCAAGAAATTTGGACCTTGACAAAAAATAATTGACTACCTCTGACTTTTATATTGTAGTTTCACAACAAAAAGATGAATACATTGATGGGGGAACTTCTGAAAACTGACAAGTTTCCAGATACTCCTATAAAACATTATTAAATGTGAGTAGTGGCACTTGAATTAAGGTTTGACCTTTAACTACCCTGCTAGAGTAGTAGTCAGTTAATTACGACAGAAATAGTCCATAGTTTTATAATCTGTAGCTCCGAAAAACCCAAAACATTGTAATTTGGGTGTTCTGGGTGGCTTGAGTTTGTATGTGCCAGGATAGGTATTTTTATGGTAAAGAAACAAAGGATTAGACTAGGAGTGAATTTCTTTTGCAATTCAATAAATGGCCTTTGAAACTATAATTGATGTGTGTCATGTTTTGATGAGTGAAGTTCTAAATAATGGTGCCTTTCCCCAAGAGAGAGATTGTGCATTCATGCAGTATTTCTGCCTGTAGTCTAGGAATTAGTGTATCCTTCTGAGTTTAAAAAGAGCGCTTTTTGTTTTCAGTATTTGTTCTAACTTGCTAAAGTACAAGAAGTTAAGCTGTGACTCTCCACTGTGTTTTGGGACAGTGAAGGATGACTCAGGAACTGAAATTCTAATGGGTAACTATCACCTAGGGTAATTTACAAACTGTAGCTCTCACAATTTCACTTACAAAGGGAAGACCTAGTTTCAGGATTTTATTTACAGGGGTAAATGTTATATTGCTTTCCATGGTTAATATGACTGACTGTGAAACAAGCTACTTTTTCTTTGTTCAGCAATTCTTTACCTCTTGTACTTTATACAAATTGTCTCCCCAAACAGCTTACAGAGTTATACAGTTTTTAACCTGAGAGCATCCTTGTATCTTTTTAAATAAGACATTTCCTTTCTGGTACAAATTGCCTGAGTAAAGTTACTAGGGGAAACAAAGTTTAAATGTCTTGTGTTTTGTTGCTTAAAATCTCAACCTCAATTCTAATTTAATATAATGTGTTAGTATTTAATGTGTCTCATCCCCCAGCCCCTCTTTTTGGAGTGTTTAATTGTTGTGTAATAATTGCGTATTACTTTGTATTACTGTAACAGTAGCCATAGACTTGGACCCCACTGTGCTAGTCGCTCTACAACACAGAATGAAAGATGGGCCCTGCCCCAAAGAGCCTACAATCTAAGTATAAGACTAGAGGCAACAGATTAATTTGGTCAGATGGGGATAACAAAGAAACAATACTGGTCACATACTAGGAGTGGTCTCAGCACACCAGCAGCCTAGCTGTTCGTTGTCAAGCTTTATGTAGGCATCATCGTGGAGGAGAATTTTAAGGAGGATGAGTTGGTTATGCAGATTTGATGGGGTGCTCCTCCCAATCATGAGGGACGGCATGGGAGATAGCATGAAGATGCTTGTTTGAAAACTTAACAAGTGGGCAGTGGAGGCTGGCATCATGGACTGATTGTAGGCAACTGTTGACAACTCAGTAGCAAATGAGAGATGATAGGCAAGATGGGGTTTAACTGTGAAGAGCCTTGAAAGTGAAGACAAACATCTTATATTTGGTGTGATAGAGAAGGGGGAGGCAGTGGAGGGATGAAAGGAGAAAGGTGACATGGTCAAAGCAATGGGCTAGGAAATGATCTTGGCAGCAGCATTCTGAATGGATATGAGCAGGGCAAGACTGCATTTATCAAGGCCTGAGAATTCAGTGATCAAGATGAGAGCCTGGATGGGAATTTTAGCTGTGGGGATGGATAGGAAAGGTCATCTCTTAAAGATGTTATGCAGGCAGCATTGGCCAAGATATAGCCATAGCGTGGAAGGGAGGATCTAAGAGGACTAAGCCCATGCCAAGCTTTATATCTTAAGTCAATTGATGGGCCTGTTTCTCCATATTTGGCAGAAATTCCCTCTCACCCAAGCCAACAAAGGGTATGTCTACCCAGTAGCTGGGAGGGTGCTTCCCAGCGTGGGTAGATACCTATGAGTTCTTCTCAAGCTAGCACTGGGAAATAGTACCCAGGTGGGATTGTACTTGGGTGGCTAGCCTGAGTTGCTTCCTGTACCACTGCAGTCATGCTGCTATTTTTAGGTGCTAGCTTGGGCAGAGCTAGCATGTCTGTCTACCCATGCTTGGAAGCATCCTTCCAGCTGCTGTTTAGACATAATCAATAGGGATGTGAGGGGTAGTATAGGAAGTCCTCTCTTGCTGGTGGAAATGGTGCCCTCCTTCACCTTCTTCAAAGAGGGGCGGAGAGGGGAAATGGTGGGCGGGGGCTCACATAAGGCCGGAAATTGGGACAAGAGTTGTCCTAAAATCCTATTAGCCAGCAAATGGTTGTGTATGTGGAATCTCCCACCCCCAACTCAAAATGGCTATGTTTTTAATTTAAAAATAAAATGGGCCTGAAACCTGTTCCTTGTCTTCACCTACCCTTTGGAGTTATCTGCTGGGGTTAGACCAGCTGCTAAGGTAGTTTTGTGGTTCCAGTAGGGTCAGAGAAGTGGGGCACGTTGGTGGGAGGCATGTGCAGACCAAGTCTAGGGATTAATGGGGCTTGTGTAGGGGAGGGGTAATGGTGGCAACTTCTGTTTTATTTTGGGGCGGCTGTGGAACTTCAGCCTCTATAGTGCCAACGGTTGTTGGATGGTGTCCTATGACTAACATTACTAATCTGATGCTATGGTTACATAGAATGAGAAATGGAATGTAAACAGGTAATTGTATCCTTCCCATAATATGGAAATAGAACTCTAGTTCAAAAGTTTGTTAATAAGTAGCCTTGCTGAAGTGTAAATAACATGCATTTTGTGGTTTTAGCTGATGTTCTTTTGCATTTACAAATACCAGAACGTAAAGTTTGCATGTGATTTAACCCCCCTCCAACAAAGCGTTTGATATAAACTATGAAATTACAATTGGAATGTATGTGAGTGCCTGTATATGAAATATATATTTTAGTTGCAGTTAATAAGATGGGAAAGACTAAACTGCCACCAAGTGCATGTGGGTGACAATTTCAGACCATTTGTACATAGCCACACTTGCATGTACTGTAATGCTTTTAGAAGTTTGAGAGCAAAGAAGCTATATTGCTAAAGAAGCAGCAAATCAACTGGACTAGCCCTGGGGCATTATCATCTGTTTAAATGTGTAATTGCATTTTCAGCATAATTAGGTGCCTAAAGTGTGAATGATTGCAATTTATTTAAAAGACTTCTGATGCTTTATTCTCCATTTCTACAAGTCAAAGCACTGAGTAGTAGACTTGAAACTGAAAATATTTTTTTTTGTATTTTTACATACTCCTAAACAATGACAGAATAAGCATAACCAATCATATATTTTATAATTGGTGAGTGGATATTTTGGAGCTGAATGGAAAAATCTAGCTAGAACTTCAGTGGCTTTTGGGTCTGAGGCTGGAGCTATTCTATTATTTTGGAAGTGATGATAATACAGAGACCATCATAAGAACAGCGGGCTGCTCAGCTACTGGTTTGGCTACGACAATGCAGTAATAGCATTGAACACTGTTGCTGTGGTTGACCTCTGTGCTGTCAGTGACTTCTCTCTGTGCCATGGCAGGATAGTCATGTAATCCTGTGAAACACAGTGGATTCAATTCCTGCTAATGGTAGTAGTACTTTTTACTTATTTTTGTCGTGTCTGGACACTTGATGAGGAGGGTTATAACTTTCTGCCTCACACCAAGGTGTGTGTGTGTGTGTGTGTGTGTGTGAGAGAGAGAGAGAGGGCTGTGGGTGGGAGAGTGTTGGCGGTATATGCTTCCTGTCCTGGAACAATCAGTGGGAGAGGAAGTGTCTCCCCGTTCCCTCCCTCACTTACTCCACTGCTATGTGCAGGAGGTGTCTCCTTTCTTTCTCCTCTATGCTCACATGAATGGCATGCACAGGGGTGTGTGTGTGTGAGAGAGAGGCTGGAGAGGTCCAGACAGGTGATCAGTCTTCCCTTCTCTTGTATAATGTAAGTGCTAACATTGTGCAGTGATTATAGATGCACCCTTATTTTTAGGGTGTAGGTGAAGTTGCTTAAAACTGTGGTGGTGGTCTGAGGCCCAGGACTGGCTTGTGGAATAAGGTATCCGGGGTGAGATTGGAGATTCTGTGGTTCAACAGAAACGGTTGTTTAGGAAAAGGGAGTGAGAAACTTCTGTTGTGTGTGAGAAATTAACAGAAAATGCACAAAACAAAAGGCGATATCCACATAGTGTCCAAATAATTCGTTTAACTTACCCAGATTTAAAAACAAATAGCTTTCACATATTTCTGAAAACACAGTTTCTGGTTCAAGAGCTGGGGGTGACACTGATATTGTCAGTGCTGTGCTGGTGCATGTGAACCAGAAAGTAAATGGGTTTAAGGTGCATGTGAGATTGTAATGTGCAGTAATGTAGGATCTTACCCTATTCTAGTGTAGTACAAATAGGGTGACAACATGCTTAATACTGTACTTGCAATGTTGTGTCTCTTAGGAGTGTCCAGTGCTTCTGTTGTAGCTTTCTTACACTAACCGGTTATATTTTAACAGCTTGCAATGCTTCCATTTTGAAGCTTAAAGTGATCAGAGTTATTCAGGTGTTAGGAAATTATAGGGTGTGTCTAAATTTCTGCCTTGGATGGAAAGAGAGCTTTGGAAAACATTTGAAGACTTGGAGCAAGCTGAGTCTGGCATACTAAGGGTGCTGGTGGGGAAAATGGTTACCTTATGTGAACTAATAGCTGCCAGGCATGGAATTAATCGTGTGTGGTAGAACTGATTGCAAGCTTTCTTGTAACTTTGCAATGTTCTGTAACTTTACATCTTTAATGAGTGTTATAAAATTAATGCTAGAAAAACACTCCCTATTTGACACCCCTTTTCTTTGCCTCCACTATTTAATCTTTCTTATCCTTGACACTGACCTCTCCTCCTTTCATGTCCCCCGTGCCAACACAAATCAGCCTGTTGCTATCTCACCAATGCTGTTTGTGGGTGTTTCCAACTCAGCAGACATCTTTTCATGTCTTCATCTCCTCTTGCATTGCCTGTTTGTAACTTCCTCCTTTATTGCTTATGGTTGATCTTTGGGTCCTAGATGTTATTTGAAAGGATTTTCGTACATTTTATGGAAAGGCCATGCCTTTTTATAAGCACTGTATTAACAGTGGGTTAAAAAGAAGTTACCAACCTTTACAATGGTTCTTTTGGTCCTGCCCAAAAGTAGTCTCCCCACTTAAGAGCTGATATTTGAAACTGAATTTTCAAGAATGTCTGTGCAATAATTAAACTAAATAGCACCAGTTAGCACAGTTGGCTCTATTGGAGCATTGTCCATTGTTTATATGCTACCATGCATAATAGTGGAGAGGTTATTATTACAGCTTTTTGAGTTGAAGCTAAGTGCTCCCATTCTCTGCTTTCCTCCCTCCCAACGAAAAATTAACACCC